CATGTGTGCCTTTGATCATGTGAATAAACACTGATGGATGAGCACACATCTTTGACAATTTTTGCCAGTTTATGACATAATGAGTAAAATAAGGACCATGTGTTGAATCATGAAACCAAAAAATTAAATTTATATGACTGTCCTGTATTCTGCAATTATCTTCTTATAATTTATATAGATTTTTTTTAAAGCTAGTATTGCTTTGTGGATCCTGTCACCACCCACCCTGAATTTTTTCCACACTGGTCTATTATATTCAGAAGTCTGGGATTCATTGCATGAGACTATGAAGGACTATCAAAATGTCATGCTTTTTTCCCTAAAAATGGTCAAGCTCAGCATTTGATCTATCACTTAAATTTGCAACATGTTACTATAAGTCATGAAATGTTACATTATAACCAGAGGTAAGAAAAGTTTACCAATGATTGTTTTTTTTTTTTTTACAACTGAAACAAAGTTGTAGATAAATGCCAGAGAAAACTGTTTAGTAACTTTGTTATCGTCCATGTCTCCTAGTTTAATGGGTTTTAAAAATAAACAAGGTAACTCAATGATATCAAATTTGGTACTTTTTTCAGCACTAGTATAGGTAACAATTTACAAATGAAGTAAATTTCCCTAGTTTGGCATTTTTTTGTTTCATTCAAACATATGCAATTTGTAAATTTTTTCATTTGTTTTTATTTATTTATTTATTTGTTTGTTTTTGGCCTGCCTTCCCTAAGCAATAGTTAACCTCCATGAAGGCAGAAATCATTTTGGTCATGTATACCATTGTAGTCCCAGCATTTAATAAATGCTAAAAAAAAAAACAAAAAAAAACATCTTATTGGATATAAATGATGTTCAGGAAACTGAACTTACTGAGCATTTACTATGTGCCAAACAATGATGGTACTAAATATTTTGAATGTCACTATATCTTGCAAATCAAGACCATGTATGAATATGATTTATTATTTGATTCTCCTTTTAAAACATATTTCCTAAAGACCTAAGTGTAGCTATATGTGAGTGTCTTCTTCTCTCCTAGTGAGATAAATGTCTTATGTTCCCCCCACCAACCCCTGCCACCACTTGTTCTTTTCCTCTATCAGCATCATCAAGGAAGGAAGGAAACAGTGAAGAGCAGGGCCTGCCAGTGTAGAAGCTAGCAGGAAGATCACTTAGCTTTCATTTTTTTTTTCTCTAAATAATCTGTAGGCAGTTTCCTGATTTAATATCCACTGACATTTCTTTATATTTGTTCACTCAGTTCTTCCAAATACTACTTTGATGATATTTTATAACCAAATAGCTAGAAAATATCCTGTAATGGCCTAGAAAGAGTGTGTCTAATTACAGACTGTATAAATGTGGTCCCTGCTCAGGGATGCCCATACTTTTTATTCTGAACGATTTTAGATTTACAGATAAGTTGAAAACACTATATGGGGTTTCTTAAATACACTTCACCTAGCTTTGCCTAATGTCATCCTTTTGCATAATAATGGCTCCAGTACTATTTTTGACCCTACTGTACTGTCCCTGTGGTTACCAGTGATGCTGAATATGTTCTGTTTGCTCTTTTAAGTCCATCTTATATACCCTCTTAGATGCCATAGGAGGTTAACTGGGACATATTTCATCCGTATGCTCCCTTTCCTTTTGGCTTCTGATTGGATCAACCAATGAAAGCAGCAAGAAACTGGAGGGCAGGGTATTTATTTCCAATCCCCTGACTCCCTGACCCCCTGACCCAAAGACTTACTTTCTGCAGAAACATATCTTTACCAAAGGCCACAGCAAAAGCCCGTGCTACATCTCTTCCACTCCAGTTATGCTTTCTCCCTGGATACCTGCTCCCACTCCCTGGTGCCTCCAGGCCTAAGGGTGGTGAGAACTCTGCTGTCACTAGCCCTGGGATGCTCTCACATCCCTAGTTTTTTCCTTAATCCTACCCACATCTTTTAAACAATTCCCTTTTTAAATTTCCCTCATTACCCCCAAATGACTGTGTGATCTGTTTTTTTCCCCAGGGACAATGATTGGTAACCTAACAAAAGTGCTGTTACCTTAAAATTGACTTTTTCTTAAGGGTATTTAAGGGAGTATATCCTTTTACCCTGACACACCAAGTTGAAATTAATCATGTAAATGTTTCTACCAAATGGAGTTCCAAATCATGCCACTCACAAGTCCAATTTTATGAATCAATGCCTGAAATTACTTCATACCCTTACCTTGCACAAGAGTCAAGGAGACAATTACAGCACCGCCAACCACTAAGCTGCCATGTATATATAATAGCAACTCTAGTGATAATTGGTAGGGTTTCCAGAGGAACCTTGTCCTCCAGAACCAGTGGGGGCAAGAATTTGTGCTGAGCCCACCCCTCCCACCCCCAGCATTTGATACCCATTCTGGCCATGGGTGCTTTGGCCAGAAACTGTCGTTTTCTCACTAGGCAGGGATTGGAGGTCACTGTTTACAGTTTTAAATTTTGAACTACAATAGAATAAATATAGGTTATCAACATGGATAGTAGATTGCTCAAAAATTAGAGGTATGAGACATACCAGGCAATTTCAGCCCCACAACTGGATTCAATACTTAGTTTGTAAGTTCAAAGAAGAATGGGACAAGCTTCAAGTCTGCACCTAATGTCCTTAATCAGACTCTTCACCTATCCAACTGCTTCTCCACAGATCATGAAAGTGAAGATCAGCCAGGATACTTGTAGCATCTACCCTGACAAAGAGCAAGGGACCAGGAAATCTGAGGATCCAAGAGGCCAGAGTCAAAGCACGTGGACTGGATCTCTGGCACAATGCCAAATGCAAAGAGCCAATTACAACAGGACAATTACAAGTTGTCACCTGTAGACTCCCATCACCACTCTCCCAGGTAGCAGCCCACTGGAACCCGAAGTCCTTACCTATAAAACCTCAAACAGAAGGTTGTGCTCTTCCCCGGCCCTCCCTCCCCAAGTATGGATTTAGTTTTCCTAACATCTCCTTCAGGGCTGTACAATATTCTACATATTTTACCATATCAAGCTAAAATTGGAAAGTATTTTAGCATTTCTACCATGGAGCAAAGAAACAAAGCTTTCTTCAGAGAACAAAATACATTACAGGCTACAGAAAATGAAAGAAAACATTTTAAAATGCCAACAAGGGGGGATTATTATTTTTTCCTTTTAGGGCATTTCCCTACTCCTGTACAACAATTGATAACTCGAGAGGAAAGTGAGTAACAATTCAGTTCTGCTTGCTGTGGCCCTTGAAGTTCAGCCACCCACTGGCATTTACTTTAAAATAAGTCAGAGTCCATTGCCATGATTCAAAAAAGCAACACACGGTATATTTACTTCTGAAATTTATTTCAGGTGACAGGACACCCACAGACTAACAAAATAAACATAGAATTAAATAGTATTCCCAAAGCCCAATTCTACTTCTTAGCAAAGGCAGATGATGATTTAGCTACCAAGCTTAGTCTATATTAGTTTGTCCATGTAATTGACCTCTTTCTCCTATACCCTCATTCCACCCCCTGCAAATTTGAGAGCCATTTTAACAGCAGCATTAAAACAATTTCTCACTTCAAGATTTGAAGACAAAACATCTAAGATGGATACACCCAACCAAGAAAGTGTAAGAAGAGATGAAGAAATTTAATCAGGGCTTTTAATGATAGAATTCTATAGCTGGAGGAGGGGAAGGAAGTGAAAGGGGGTGGGTGAATCAACATGCAGAAGAAAAACAGGAGGGGTTAATTTACCCTGAAAATAACCAGTATTCTATTTGTCCAAGCCCAATGACAATTTGTGCCAAGCAATTTCATTCATTTCACGGTGCCTAGAACACTGATGACTGTGTGGTAAATATTAAACAAAAATACTTGTTGGTTGATGAAAATGTACATGGCAATGCCGTGTACACACAGGAAACAGAAACTCAAGGTGGTCAGACAAATTTGAAAGCAATGCAAGGTTTGGTTCTCCATGTTAATAACATTTTCAAGGTACACAACTGGGGAAGCAAATGAAATAAAAATTTGCCACATCCATAGTTCAACATGTTGTTCCTCTTTGAGTGCTAAAACTTTATTTGCAAGAGAAAAGCTAAGATTAGGTTAAACATATTTTTAATTATATATATATATAATATTATTTTAAAGACCAATAAGTTTTATTGCTTAATATCTTTTTAAATGAAAATGGTTACTTGCTCAGGTTGCTTCAAGTGGTAATAGCAATATACCACTTGAAACCTTTAATACAGAAGCACCCTTTGCAGAACTAAAGCTAGCCTTGAACTTTTAGTAAGCTATATGCTTTTAAATTAACCCTTCTAAATACTGTACAAAGCTCATAACTCAGAGTGTTAGCTTATAGCCGAATTAGGTTACTACTAAATATTCATTAGGCAAACTATTGAAAATAAAGAAACCATGCATATTCCTACGGCTCTATGAATGCCAAAATTAAAAATGATACAGTGAGAATTTGGGATCAAGCAATTTGGCTGATCTCAATGGCTTACACATTTTAAGTTTAACTAAAACCTCTAAGGACCTTTTCCTTTGGAAAGAAAAACCACACATTTTAAAACAGTATCTAATGGAAGGTCTATTAAAATCACAATGGATCATAGCTGTCAACTTCAAATAGTGTCTCTCTCCTTAAGAGCTTAAGTTTACACACTGGTGCAACACCACAAATGCAGATGCTACAAAGGGATCTACAGAGAAAAACAAATTTTATTCACAACGCTTTGCATATAAACTTTTCCTTCTGGAGACTTGTGTGGGGTTGAAAATAAAGGATGCTAATATGCACATTATGCAGCACTACAAGAAAAAACACTTTAGTTGAGTGAAAATTCATTTATCTACTGAAAATCCGGGAGAATTCACATCCACTGTACTCCAAATTTACTCCTAAGTGACAGAAAAATACTATATGAAATGGCAAAAAAAAATTAAATATGATTTAATCAATAGCTGATTACCTTTAAAACTTTGGGCTTCTTTTCCCTCTGGGGCCTCTTGTTTTCTTTTATAACCTAAAAAAAATCAAATTGCAAAATGAGCCTCCGTTTAAGAAAAAAAATTAGCTCCCACCCCCCCAAATTTTTTGGCTATTTCTCTAGAAAACTACTTATACCATATAAAAATCATCAACATGTTTGCTAGGCAGAACCTAAAGAGCTTATGTAAAATGTATACTTTAAAAGTCACTGAAAAAAAGCCTTGCATAAAGATGAAGTAGGGAAATACCCTTTTTTCCCCTTAAAGTCTGTCTTAATTAGCCTCTGCATTCTTCACAGCGAAGCCCACGAGGTAGCCATCTTGCTTGCTTCTGCAGAGGAAGCCTCTACAGTGGAACAGTTCTGCAAACTGCTTTTTGGTATTATTATCATGGTGTTTAAAGGCAGCCCTGGCCTGCCAGCACTGTAGACGTGCTGGGCATGCCTTTTGCAAAAACAGCCCCACAAAGAGTGCAGCCAATGGCAATGCAGAGCTTAGCAACTCCAAAGTGATCTTCTCTGCTAGCCTTCCTAGACAAAGGATCTCCTGTGCGGCTCCGCTCTCACCACAGGACACAGGCAGCCACAAGCTGCGACATGGAGTGCGCTGCAGAGGATCTGGTCGCGCCGAAATCACAGGAGGCTTCAGCAAAAACAATGCACACAAATCCCCCAGGTCTCCACCATCGGATCGATGGCGGAGGCTCCCTGATTAGTAACCTCTTGGCGGCTGCGAGGGCAGGTCTGCGCGGGGGGAGGGGTGCGCGGCTCTGCCTCCAACGTACAGGAGATATAACTGAGCCGAGGGGGGCATTTGGGCTTGCTGAAACTCTGGAAGGTATTGTGCATTTTTACTTTATAAGGCAAGGCTAAATATTGGCGATATTTAAGGCAGGGAGGTTATGTGAGGACAGTGTAGGCTCAGCTGTTGGGCTGCGTGTCTCATTCCCCGGGAACCACACCTCTTTGCAGCAGGCTCTTTGCCCAGAAACACAGCAATTTGATTTCTGTCAATAAATGTCCAATGACAAAGGCGGATTAGAAAATACTAATGAAGCCACTTAAAAGGAAAAGGACAGGATGAGGACAAGGAGAAGGGGAGGAGTTTAGAAAATACACTTGCCACTCCGAGTGGCTGGAGAAAAAAAAAAAAGATTTCTCTCTTGCTCTGCACATTTCTGGTGACTTTCATTTCCCAGAGAAATCCCTCCTGTCCAGAAGGTGGGCTCAAACCTTTGGGACAAGAGGAGCACCTTTGGCTCCTCTGTCTCCCAAGATCATCAGCTGTCACCGAGCATCTCCCTGTAGAGCTGCCAGGCGTGTCCCCACGTGGAGCCTGTCTGCGTAGCAGGCTGGTGGTCAGCTGGGGCCACCCACTTCCCAGGAATTGGGAGCGGAGCCAGAGGAGGCACAAGCAGCCACCCACACTCAGGCACCTGGAATGACACCGTGCCCAGCGGGTGGTAGGCAGTGGGAGAGCCGGGCACCATGGCCGGAACTTGCCAGACCCTGAGGATGGCATAACCAGAGGAGTTCAGCTCCCTCCCCTTAAGCCCCCTGGCCAAGGCAACAGTGACAGAAGAGAAAGAACCGGGACAGCTGCTGTGAGCTGGCAGGTCTCAAGGTCACTGCCAAAATGTAGTGCAGAGGCCAGTTACAGTCCCATCACAGCCACCTTGACAGCTGCACAGATCTTGGGACGACAGCCTCAGCTCCAACCTCACAGGGCCAAAGTTTCAGCAACACATTTAGGGGATTGGCAGGAGGACCTCCCTTGCTGCTCAGCCAAAGATGGGTTTTCCACTTGCAGTTGGATTCGGAACAGATTCCCACAACCAGAAATCAGGAACAGAGTGAGCGCCGGAAGGCCTGTATTTCATCACCCTGGATTCCTAGCCTTTTGGTTTGCCACAAAAGCACGCTTTTCTTGTTGGAATGGTAAGTCCAACATGCACTCTTTTCCGACTTTAAACTACCTCTCCTTCACCTACCCACCCTCAAATTTTTTAACAAATGTAAAGACCAAGCCTTCTGGTAGCAAAACTGGTGGATTCTGACCTAACCACATCCATCAGGGCAACTTCAAGCACACTGAGCCCACACTAAGCTCTGTGGTGAATGAAGAATCCATGAAACAGGTAGAAAAACAGGACCCAATACAACAAGATTTCAAAATGGCCCTACATCATTTCTTTTTCTTTGAAGTTTGTGGTGTGCGTGACAAAATATACATAACCTGAAATTTGCCATTTTAACCATTTGTAAATGTACAGTTTAGTAGTGTTAAGTACATTCACAAAGTTGTGAAACTATTCCCCCTTTCCATTTCCAGCACCGTTTCATCATCCCAAACAGAAACTCTGTATCCATTCAACAATAACTCCTCATTCACTTTCTCTCAGCCCTTACTACCTTTTATTTTGCTTTCTGTCTCAATAAATTTGCCTATTCTAGTATCACACAATATTTGTCCTTTTCTATCTGGCTTTTACTTCTCATAATGTTTTCAAGGTTCATCCATGTTGTAAGATTATCAGAATTCTGTTCCTTTTTTTTTTATAAGTGTTTTTTGTTTTTGTTTTTTTTAAGTTTGAGGCACCTGGGTGGCTCAGTTGGTTAAGTATCTAACTTTGGCCATGTCACGATCTCAGGGTCTGTGATTTTGAGCCCTGCATTGGACTCTGGGCTGACAGCTCGGAGCCTAGACCCTGTTTCAGATGCTGTGTCTCCCTCTCTCTCAAAAAATGTTTTTTTAAGGTTTATTTACTGATTTTTGAAAGAGAGAGAATGAGCATAGGTGGGGCAGAGGAGCTGAATCAGGTTCTGTGATGCTAGCAGATGTGGGGCTCGAACCCACGAACCATGAAATCATGACCCGAAGTGGGAAGCTTAACTGACTGAGCCAACTAGGCACCCCAGAATGTCATTCCTTTTTAAGGCTCAATAGTATTTCACTGTACTATTTGTATTTGTTTTATACACCAAATTTGTTTTATCTGTTCTTCAGTTGATATACATTTGGGTTGTTCCCATATTTTGTCTATTGTAAATAACACTGCTTTGAGCATGGGTATGAGTATCTATGTGAGCCCCTGCTTTCAATTCTTTTAATATATACCTAGGAGTAGAATTGTTGGATCATATGATAATTATGTTTAATTATTCAAGGAACCACCAAATTTTCTATGATGACTATTCCATTTTACATTCCTGTCAGTAGTGCACACAAGGGTAAGCCCTACATTTCTTAAAGTTCCTTTCATTTCAACACCAAATAATGCCTTTCCCCCTTGAATACTTGAATATAATTTTTTAAAAGTATCAACATTTTCTCAGCTTGACTGTTCAGTGTTTAGTAAAGTTGGCCATGATTTATAATATATATTGAAAATATAGAACTATATTATATAATTATGTGATCCATGTTTGTCCCAATAAAATAAAATCAGGCTCTGAGTGTTAGGTGTACTGAAAATCCACAACAGTGAGAAGTCAGTCCACTTTTGAAAGCCCCACTGACAAAATTTTCACTGCACAGGATACTCATGAAGTCATACAACACTGCACTTGGCAACCTAAGCAAACATTGGAGGTCTGTGTGGAGTGTTCTGCAAAATGAATTAATAAATAAACCAAGGCTCATCTCAGCTTAACATGAGGGTTACTATACCATGAAGATCTACACTTGTTTGAACACAGAATGGATTGGTAACCTACATTGGTTGTGACCATCTGCTCTAAATCCTATACTTCGTGATTTGACAGTCTCTCAGCTCAGGGCTTAGGTGATGGCGGACTTTGATGGAGAAAATAATCAGACGTTACTAAATGAGAAATTGGAGGTCAGGAGAGCCATTCCCACTCTCTTATTACTTAGGGCAAAGTGCATACCACTAGATTCTGTTGGAAGAATGGCAGATCAGAAACTAAGAAATCCTATTTTGTAGTCCTACTTAGAACTTGCTTTTGTCACTTTTTCTCACAAGGAATCATGATTATTAAGATGCATGAGTTGTATTTAATTTTGTAATAACTTTTAGGTTCTTTCAAATATTACAAAGTTGGATCTCTTTTCTCTTAATCACATGATTGTAGGGGTGCCTGGGTGGCTCAGTCGGTTAAGTGTCAGATACTTGGTTTCAGATCAAGTCATGATCTCAAGATCTCACACGTTGGAGCTCCGCAATTGTCAGCGTAGAGCCTGCTTGGAATTCTGCCTCTCCTCACCCCTCTCTCTGAACCCCTCTCTCCTACTAATGCTTGCACGTGCACTCTCTCTCAAAATAATTAAACTTAAAAAAATTTTTTTTGAAATAAAATGATTGTAGGAGCTCCTGGGTGGCTCAGTCGGTTAAGCATCCGACTTCTGCTCAGGTCATCATCTCATAGTTTGTGGGTTTGAGCCCCACGTCAGGCTCTGTGCTGACAGCTCAGAGCCTGGAGCCTGTTCAGATTCTGTATCTCCCTCTCTCTCTGACCCTCTGCTCATGCTGTCTCTCTCTCTCTCCCTCTCTCTCTCAGAAATAAAAAAAAATTTTTTAAAGAAAAGAAATCAAATGATTGTAAAACTATAAAAGAACATCAGAGAAAAAAATTGAGTCTGCATTGTTTCATAGATAAACTAAGCCTCAAAGAGATAAAAGTACTTAATTCACACTATATAGCAAGTTAGAACTTGAGTTGAGGTATAACCAACTATCTATACTACTTTGTCTATAACTCCTCTTCATTTTTAATACCCAACAATAGACATTGGTAAATATTCCTAAATAACCTTTAAGATTGAAACATCTTCAAAACCACACACTCCAGGAGAGGGAGAATGGGGGGCTCTCTTGGTTGAGAGACTGACTCTTGACTTCCGCTCAGGTCATAATCCCAGGGTCATGGGATGGAGCCCCACCATCAGGCTCTCTTTGTGGAACCTGCTTGAGATTCTCTCTCTCCTTCTACCCCTCTCCCCTTCTACCCCTCTCCCCTGCTTGCACTTTCTCTCTTCCCTCTCTCTCTCAAAATAAATAAATAATTTTTAAATT